ACTTTAAACGCAATCTCGTTCATTCGTTACATATAGCTTTTGTAAGTGACATATACCAGATAAAAGGTAAAAAGATAACGCATGAATGCTAAATCAATAAAAAAAAACAAAGCCGCGTCGCCGCACCACTTTTTGGGCAAGCTCCATACCAGAAACCGGAGACTTTTTTTTGGCCTTATATTCAATTCCAAATATAGCCGACCTTTCTTGCTGTATATACTTAGCGTTCGTGATTTTTTAAATTGAATGCGAAAAGGGGACTTTGAAACCGACACAGAAATTCCGTTTGACTCCTTTTCGATTCATCACCGTTTTCGCGAAGAGACACATATTATGTCAAAAATTTCCATTTTTTTCGATTTCGATTTTGTTTCACTATTTTGCTTTAAAACGTTGGACTTAACCATTTTGACATGTTTCTGTAAGCAAAACATCATTAATTTCCAAATTACATTAATGATGCAAGGGGCAGACATCTCGATAATTGCATTTTGCGTTTCACGAAGAGACACAAACATTTTGGCCCCTTGAACCTAAGGCACGGAAAAACGTAAAAGTAAGTCAACTGAGATTTTCACGTTCACGAAGAGCAACATATCTTTGTTAATTTCGCTGCTGCGCACACGTACACACGCGCACTTCTTCCATCAAGGGCGGATCCAGAACACAATTTTTTTGGGGGGGGGCCCAAAAGTTTTGGTCCCCCAAAAAGTGGGTTGAAAAAATTACGGCGTGAGGTTCGGGGCCCTCGTAAGGGCCCTGAAAATTTTTGGATTCTAGATGCTCTGTGGTGCCGCGATCTGAGGCAATTTCTGACCACTTAAACCAATATTTTTTTTTGAGGAAAAGATGGTGGTGTACTCATTGCCTGCCTTTATTGCAATGTCACATAAAAAAAAATCCGCCCTTGTCTGCCATACGGAAAGACACGTTGAACAGAAAGGACCTTAATGTAGGAAACTTGAAATTTTGTTTTCAAGGAGAGACACACATTTTTACTAATTCAGTTTCGCTAATTTACTACTGTGTTAATTCTATTAACTGGGTTTACGTAAAAATTCACCCCTCATAGAATCATCAAATTTTTTTGGCAGTTTTAAAACAAAAGATCTTCTTTTGCGATAACTCGAAAACGCCTTTTCTTCAAATTCCACTGGCCTTTCGTGAAAATGGCGACGAATTTAGAGATTGGCTTATTTTATATATATATTAAAACTATGTCATCGGTTTTCCTTTCAGTTTAATTGAAAAAACAACAACATATTTGACAATTTAGTTTATTTTTACCACGTTTGTGCAAAACATGAGGCCAACCACTAACCGACAACGTCACTATTTTGTGAACAGTAACACCAGCTATACTCGTTTGATTAGTGGTTAAACGCTTCAAGTGTATGGCGAGACGTCTGGGTAACAGATACCCTGATGTAGCATCCTTATTTCTTTACAAACTTGAATGTAATCTGTTTGGACTAGTTATATTTCACTATCCTAGACACAATATTATACTCTCAAAGACAACATATTATAGCAAAGTTAAGAAAACGTCAAGTAGTAGTAGTAGGCCTAAGTATGGCTAATGTTCATGCAAAGTTTGTGATTTATAATTAATTGTTCTTATGCGCACTGTTTTTGCTGGCTCTTATTGATATGCAATGATTGTAATCGGAAAAAAAATGTTTTTAGTAAAAATTAAATAGACTTAAAAATAAATAGACTGCAAACAAATTGATTATTGTATTCTTACCTTTGCTTGTGAAATTACAACTTTTCCTACGTTGGGGCGCGGAGCTATAAATACAGTCGTAACATTTATTAAATAGATTCCATAATTTCGAAAAATATAACAATGTGTAAGCTCGCTACTTGGTTCACGAAAAGGGGGAGTTATGAATGCATGACACAATTGGACCACTCCGTGCTGGAAGTTAGCCCGGAATTCCCCCGTCACCTAGCCCGGAGGGCGCTGTTCAACGCCAACAATATTACACGCTACTGGACAATAAGTGGCGCTGTTCTTTGCGGCATTATTTGCCGATAGACTGGTCTTCGCCTGCCATAAATGTATTGAGACCGGTAGCTAGTTCCCATTCATGGCCATTGATTGGATCACCTCTGCATGTGCGCAGTATGATTTTTTTAATGATGGTTACAGCTTTTAACAAAACAAATACGCAAAATCAACAGTGCTCCCATTTCAACTGCATAATTTTCAAATACTGAAAAGTGTTGCTCCTCGCTTGATTGGTAGTTGCCCGAGACACTTTCTTTTTCAGCAAAAATTGAAGCTCATTAGCACACAAATTGCACAGTAACGGTAGCCTTGTTGAAATTTTGCAATAGGGTGGTTCCTCGCTAACATTATCGTTCTGATGTTGTATTCAGGGGGAAGAGAGAAACCTTATGTATGCAGTATTCATTGCCCGCTACCTGTCCCTACATTCGAAATCCGAAGGAGATTCCATATGTACTTGCGCGTCTTTAGAATGGGGATATGCTGTAATGATTAGCAACACAGTGGCGTTGGGTTTTCTAACGTCGGCATTTGTGCCGCTATTTGTGCCGCTATAAAGAGCATCACCTATAGTCTGATACTGGTCACTGCGCCCCCATTGAAAAAAATGGTGTCAAGCTACCACGACCACCCCCCTTCCAGATTTCGGATTTTTACGGGTGACGGGTGAAAAAGGCTTTGTATCTTTTAGCACGGATGCTCTAGCGATGCGCAATGTGCCCTATTTTACGTCTACCCCAATATGACCTTGCTACGCGCCTGCAACGCTGCATCATGAGAACAAAAAGCGCCCTTTGGCCGGCTGTAATCAATTGATGTTATGTTAGATTTCGTATTTGTCAAATGGTTTCAACGTTGTGGCCCAGAAAGTCGAGTGCTTTCCTATGCGTGCGATAGCGTTAAGATATTTGTTGCCTCGCCTTTTCACAAATATCACGTTAATGCATGCCACAGTATACTTAGGGGAATGGCCGCGAAACAATCACGTACATTCTATACACCTTCTAGATGGTATCCAACCCCTCCCCCTCCCTCATGCTGACAACGGGTTTAAGATTGGACTCAAATCCTGGATTTAAGTTTGGACTCGCTGCACATACCCACGGCCAGCGATGCATAATACACATGAATAAAATGTTATTCTTTTTGTGGCTTGGGAACAGTTGAAATTCCAAAAGTTCACAAATTTGTTTGAACTTTGATTAGCAAAGATAATTCTATCTGTAGTCAGTCTCTGATTGACTTCAACGCGCGTTTAACCGTAAATCTGATGTTACAGGGCAAGGTCGTCAATCGCTTTTCAAAAATGGGGGGGGGGGGGGGGGAGGGCATTCGTTGATAGGAACTTTTGCGAGGGCGAAGCGCGAAGCCCTAACGGCGTGCGTACGTTCGGGGACCGGTTAAGGGCCCCGAAGAATTTTGAGGATCTGAGGCAATTTGTGACAACGTTAACCATTTTTTTTTTCTTCAGCAAAAGATTATAATGTAAACATCAGTTTTGAGTTGGGAGTAATTGAATCAGGTATTCTGCGCTATAGAATCATATGTAGGCAACATTTTTTCTAGAGGGGGACGAAAAAGTGGGGGGGGGCAAACGATATGATATCTCCCCGCCCCCCCCCCCTTCCCCACCTATTGACGCCCATGTTACATGGTGAGTAAAAAAAGAAAAAAAAAGCGGAACCTAAACCCAAAGAAATATACTGCATATTGAAAAAAATGTGTAGCACCAACAATAATTATGACTTGTAAGCCAATTTAATAAACTACCTTTAGATGAAAATATTACTTCAAATGCTCCATCCGTTCAAATTATATCACCATATAAACGAAATGACCATACAATCAGTTTCGTCAAAAAAATGCAATTTATGGCGTGTTCTGACTGTTTTAAACAACAAAGAAAATGACACACAATACTCGTTTCAACAACTGTAGTACACAATATCTTAATTAACAACCCCGCTTTGGCTAACAATAGAATTTACAACAAAATTAAAGACGGGCCTTCAAAAGGCCTTTGTTTAATATTTTTCACTTTTAAACGTAGGTTTTTGGTGGTGATGTTTGAAGACAAATCGCATTTTTGGACTTTAGAGTTATTTCGTTTAAAAGGTGATATAATTTGAACAAATTGAGCAATTGAAGTATTTTTTTTCCATCTAAAAGTACTTTATTAAATTGGCTTACCAGTCATAATTAGTTTTGGTGCTACATATTTTTTAAATATGAAATATATTTCTTTGGCTTTGGGTTCCGCTTTTTTTGTTTGGACTCACCCTGTACCACATAACGAGCTCTCAATGGGGGTTTAGCTTCTAGAGCTTTCAAATATATTCCCCACCAGTGGCGTCGCCAAGGGGGGGGGGGGCAGGGGGGCACGTGCCCCCCTGGAAAACCTAGTGCCCCCCGAGTGCCCCCCCCCCCATCTGAGATTTGGGTTGGTAAAAAAAAATTATGCGCGTTGTTAAAATCATTACCTCGAAAATAGCAATTTCTGGAGATCTCTTCAGATCGAATTTAGCATCAAATGTGGCACCATTTTGCATCTAGCCCATCCTCCGTATGCGAATATTTGCCAAAGGGGAGGGGGGGCACCCCCTCCCCTTAGACCCTTCCCCCAGGACGGCGATCCGTATCCACCTAAGTTCCCCCCCCCCCCATCAAATGCTGGTGCCCCCCTGTGCCCCCAGACTGAAAAGTCTGGTGACGCCACTGTTCCCCACCTGTAATTGTTCATCCAAAAAAAACCTGTTATAAATAAACATCTGCTATTGATTCAGTGATTTTTGTGTCGTTTTGTTTTATATTGATTTGTTTTGTTTGTTTGGTGTCCAACTGTTTCAAAGGGGGCCGTGTACGATCAAAAAAATGTTCACGGTGGATTGGTGAAGTTGGCTTTTTATCAGGAGGGCAGGTCAAAAGGTAATACTTATCTAAATGCCTGTGGAAAGGAAAACAAAAAGAGTTGGACTTCGAAATCTACAATGCACTTGATACTGACAAAAATAATCAGCTTGTCTTTCACGATCATTGTGCATGGTGTATTGTAGGAGAGTTTGATTTACCCCAACATTTTCCGAGTCTGCTCTTTTAGACAAGCTTCCTAGCCTATAGATACGAGGGGAACATGGCACCGAGTGTTGTACTCATAACAGGTTGCTCGACAGGAATGGGGCTTGCAACTGCTGTGCATCTGGCTACAAAATCCAAACATGATTTCAAGGTGAGATTTCCTTAATTCCCATACTCCGTTCTCACAGATATTGCCTACTTTTTGTGAGATACATTTTTTTTTGGACTATCCTTAGAGCAGTACTAGAAATGTGAGGTGAAACAACCGGAAAGAAAATAACCTTAATATAAAGCGCGTAAATTTACCAAAAAAATATTTCATTTTTTTCAAAAAGTATGGTTGTTCTAAGTACATGAATGAATTTAAAACTGCAATCAACCCTGAGATGCATGACTTTTAATTTTCCTCGTGTTAATATATCAACTAGCTAAAAAGCATGGCTGCCGTTAACTTTCATATACTCAGAATATTTTGCACCCTCCAAGTATATGTCGTACAACCAAACGCCTGAGGGGCACGGGTTTGACAGACAGCCAGAGCCTCTACAAAAAAAAATCCCAAGATAACTAAAACGGTAGAACAAATATAATGGAGAGTAAACCATATGAGCATTTGTGGGGTCGTCAATAATTTGTCAGACTTAAAAATAATTCCTAGCCCAGACATATAATAAAAATGGGATACTACGTCCTGGAATACTCACAATTGCGCTACAAAACACCTTTTAAAAACAATTAAGAAGTTGAATATTAAGCTCCACACAACCATTCTTTAAAAACTGGCCGTTTTTGTGTTATTCTTGCGAGTACCACTTTCTGGGCTCAACATTTTGACTCTCTAAAATCTGTTTGGGTGCTAGTCGTGACTCCACTTGCACCAGTGCTCTTTACTCTATAGCTACTAATCGTTTCATTTCGCCGTAGGAAATAAAGCGCCAGCACCGTGATATCAACCGGAATGAAATCACTTCCCTACTCTAACATTTATTACGGGAGGAGATTTGTTCTCAGAAATGTACTTGGCCTGCAACCTTAGACCACAACCTAAATTTCTGGTACGCCTTGAAGTGGTGCTAAACCTCGAAAACGTATATTTGAACAAGGGGTAGTACAGGCCCTATATTTATAGATCAAACGTAAGGTCATGTACACTTGCTCAATGGATGTACACACATTATTATCAGGCTGACTGGAATAGACTAACAGTTAACCTCACCCGTGATTGCACAAAGGCAATCAGAATAACTTTGTGCATTAAGATAGGAGTTGAAAGGGTAATACACAACATTTGCAGGCATGTAATAAAAGGAAACTATCAAATGTTATGAAATAGCTTACTTGATTGTAAGTGAATGATTGTCTCAAGCATCCTGTGAAATCATGGAAACTGGTGTGCTGTCATTTGCAAGAAAAAACCCTGAAAATTTCTGAAAATTACAGCAAAAGCAAATGTTTTACATTATCTCTAATGTAATTGGAAGGCACCCAGACACAAATTTATTATGGACAATATTTCTTGTGGGTGCGCTGATCAAACCGGTCAAGAATGATATCGTATTTCGTTGTGGCAGTGGCGTAGCCACGGGGGGGGGGGGGGGGGGGGGGGGCGTGGGGGGCGACATCCCCCATGAAACCTTGTCGCCCCCAAGTCGCCCCCACTGAGATTTTGAGTTTTAAAAAAAAATTCATTGATCTACATGACGCCCCCCATGAAATGTTCCAGCCCCCCCCAGCGCCCCCCCCCCCTCCCCCACTGAAAAATTCCTGGCTACGCCACTGCGTTGTGGCACATAGCCGCCAAAGGACAAACCATAATTGCCGACAGAGCGACATTTTGTTCGTGGAGAAATGATGGGATGTGGGCAAGTGTCATCCCTCATCCCTAGTCACACCCCTGACTGACTGTAAGGTGAACAGTCCATGCTATTATGGACTGGTTGCGCTACTCAAAGAAAATGTTTTAATAGGAACACTAATCTCTATAGACCGATTGCATTCAACAGCTTGTTTGATGTTTGTCTTGCTATGTTAACCAATCATTAACAACGAATGCACAAGACATTTACTCATTGACCCTGTTGAACAAAAGAACACACCCCAAAGATGGTTGCAAGGCAAATGACTTGTACAGACGATCCGAGCGAATAATCATGTGCTATTAGTAATAAAAGGGGCCTCCAAGGGGCCTAACCAGTTCCTTGTTCTTAGTGAGATTTCAACGACCGTTTTGTAAATATCCGCTATCATGAATGATTCCTTATAATGTATCATCATCATTTTGGTCTTGTACGTGAAACCTGCATTGTCCAATAAATCTTTTTTTGGGGGGGGGGGGGGGGGATGCTCCGCTCAAGAAGTAGCCTTTCGCCCAGGCCTTCGTGGCTTAGAGCGGCGGAGTTGCGAAGACCCGAAGCGACAGGAGCAAAGATTAGGTCAGCACGCACGAGTGGCAAAGCCACGAGGCCTTTTGCAACTTGATTTTGTTGAATTATTCATAGTTTTTATGCAAATAAGAAGCGTGCTGAAGGTTAACCAATCACAACGCGGATTTTGCCTAGTCGCTTCCATTTTTAAAAGAAGGGTGAGTAAGGAAACCGTAAGAGCAAATAACTGTAAGTTCAGATGAAAAATAAGTTCATACCCTCAAATAATTTGTTGAAATACCTTTATAAGTAAAGTTAAAATAAGATAATGTAATAACAATTACGCAGTCACGATCTCGTGGAAAACTAGACTCGCATTTTTTGTTTTTAAATTCTGTGCAAGCATCCGACGTGACGCGTCGACGCGTCCGCGTCCGGGTGGAAGCCACGCACGCACGAAAAGGCTGATGATTGGTTGGAATTTTGCTACCCTGTTGGGGTAGCAAAAATCGAGATTATAAAGAAAAACATAAGAATTTCTCGACAAGTTGCAAAAGGCCCTCGTGGCTTCGCCACTCGCATGTGTGGTCTCCATCTCCAGTCGCTTAGCGTTCGCCGCTTTCAATGCGGGCAAGTTAAGCCACGATGGCGTTGGTGAAAGGCTACTCAAGAAGTGACATTTAATAACTACACTTTCACATTTTTTTAAACACATTTTATCAAAACATGCTCATCTTGGTCGGCTTTGTCTACACCCTTTTGGAAAACAAATTATTGTTGGTGTACCATTATGTTGGAACCACTCTACTTTCAAGGACAGAATTATTATCGAGTGTAAGTATCTAAAAATAAAATGTAGTATTGCTCATTAACTAAACGTGGTCCCATATTGCAACCGACAGAGGGAAAACCAAAATTAAAAACTGATTGAATTATCCTACTAGGTTTATGCAACCATGCGAAATCTGGCGAAGAAGGGACAACTTGAAACAGCCGCCGGGGAAACCCTCGAAAAAACGCTATTTATCCGGGAGCTTGATGTCACAAAAAACGACACCATCACGTCGTTAGTTGACGAGATTGTGCGAGACAACGGCAGAATCGATGTTGTCTGTAAGTGCAATCGTTTAACTCAATTGTTTAACTCAATTAACTCCTGTGATGTTTGCGGACAGAGTGTAAAGTACACAAGACAATGAATGTTCAATAAGATAAATCTGGATAAATATAGATACATCTAGTAACAAATCAAATACAAAAAAATACATATATGTTCCATTGATCAGAATGGGTAAGAAGTTTGTAGAATATAGCAATAACACATTTGAAATGAACATTGCACTGTTGCCACTCGTATGGAGTAAATGAAACAAGCAGCGACAGGCATTCAATGAGTCAGTCAATCAATCAGTGAAGTAAATACGAATAAGACACAAGGCTGGCCCTCTCTAGTTTGAGCAAAAATAATAAATACACGTTTCTCAAGGAGAAACACAAAAATGAATGCCACATCACACCTGTGGATATTCGCACGTCAAATTTCTCACTCGTGGCGTGGAAAAGATATCTACACTTTTGCTCGGGCCTTGAACTAATGTGTATTGAAAATGTTCTGTTGTGTTTAATTTTACACAACTACTTGATAGGCCTACACAGTGCATTGAGTATACCTTTCAAACGTGTCGTTCCACTTTCTCTTGTAAAGGTATCTAGAGTATATTGTTTATTAGGTTTTTTTGCACATAATACGTTTCTTATTTCCCCCGTCTGTATTGAGTCTCGCGGGTGCTGCGGATGATGTAAGCCTACGTTTTATAACGTCCCAAACTCGATTTAACCTGGCAAATTTGAACTTGTATGCATTAATGTAAATGTAAATGAAGCGTATTCTTTCATTATTCTGGGCATCTGGTACCCTGTCATCAAAAGCTGCGACTAAACTGGTTCCTTGTCCTGGGGCGGGAAGAAGTCTAACATTTTAGCCAAGCCGCAGACTATGCGAAACTGAAATTATTATGCCACAACTTGGTTTAATTCTTTTATTTTGTTTCGTTTGAAGTTTCATTTGAAAGTTATTTCGAATGAGGCCTCTTGTGTGGCACACCCAGTTTCATTCAACCTCGTTCCTTTGAACCCTCTTAGTTAACAATGCCGGCTTCTCTGTATTTGACGACTACTTCATGGGAGATGAGCCCCTCGACGCGGCTAAGACTATGATGGATACCAACGTGTGGGGTCCCACACGGGTCATGCAAGCCGTACTGCCCGTCATGAAGAAGCAGAAATCGGGCCGCATCATCAATACTACGAGCGGGGAGGGCATAGAAGGTACAAAGGCCGACTCTGCCTAGTTGATTTGTAAATAATTCATGTTCGGAATTTTCTCTGACGTATTTCGGACAGTACAATAATGTATTCGTCCTCTGGCAAATGCTGCCGGGGTGGTGGTGGTGGTGGTGGTGGTGGGGGGGGGGTGTCTAACTTTTAGGAAGCGCATGGAACAGAAGGGGATGATATTTGAGCGAAGAGGTGCCCCTGCAAAGGGTGTCTAGGGCATGTCCCCTCCTCCATTCCTAGGTAATTTGGGAATAAGGTTAGGAACTTGGAGTCGATTTTTAAAAGTATTTCTGTCGTTGTTTTACTAATATCGCAGTTTTGTTCTCAGCTCCCGACCCCGGGGGGGGGGGGGAGGGGCGATCCGCTACTGATTTGAAAAAAAAGAACGTTGTTTTACATAAAACAAATATTTTCTGAAAGTGTAAACCTCAAGCCTTACTCTTGTATCTTGTCTAACACACAGCGGTCATCTAGGAAGTGATTTATCCGAAACAAACATTCCCTCACATGCCTTTTCCCACCGACCAAATCAATCTACTTCAGTGAAAACTATCATAATACTGTCCTAGTGCGAACAATTGGGACTATTGTGTATGAAAGTCCCAAAACCTATATGGTATTGAAAACAGGAAACTCCAGAAAATAGACTGGCACATGCAACAACCATCCGATACCCATTTAATTAGTACTGCATCAGTCGATTGTGTCAACAGAAACATCTGGTATATAAGTCGCTGTCACAAGAAGAAGTCAGTCTTTCCAAATACATGTAGTTGGACATGCACCAGTCTCGTCCGAGGCTGATTTCCCCCAAAACACATATTTTTTTTCGTTACGGCGTTCTTACGCCGTTATATACGATCTGGGGATGTGGGGGGGGGGGGGGGGGGGGGGGCGAGCGAAAAGTAAAACATGAAAAACTGGTTCCCCCCATTCATCCAGAAGGGGCGTTGAAAACAAATTTAGAAGGTGGGCTCATGCAAAAGTCCAGTAATCAAAGGTATTTATTATTAAAATAACAAAAATCTCAAGGCGTTTTATATACGAGCAATGCAAAAAAAAATAAAACCCTTTTTTTCCCCATGATGCTTAGAACTAATCACAACTTATCTGATTGGTTTCAGGATATCCCTTTCATGGCTTCTACTCTGCCTCGAAGTTTGCTTTGCAGGGTCTTTCCGAAAATCTGTCGCCGATCCTACGGCAAGTCTACAACATCAAGTAAGTGTTGTCATCGGAATGCCAAGTCTATTCCTAAAAGCCGTACTGTTGTATCGTACCCCAGTTAACGTGGACACGGAATATATGTTGTATATGTGATATGCAGGCATATTAATATTCACCCCCAAAATATGCAAGACCCGCCTCTTGAACTCTAGATTGAGACCAATCAACAGGCGTATACAAATAGTCGTGCCTTTAGCACACGACGTGATAAAGAACGAAATGGCTCATTCAACTAGTCAGGTTACGCCTATTCACTTAACCGTAGCCAAAGGGGAGGGGGGGGGAGGGTTGGAACACGGGTACGGGTCTGCGTGTCCTAGACGCATTTATTGGGTTTTTTTCTGCAAACACGTGTAGTCAGTGACCATAATGCGCACGCTTGATCAGTTCGTAACGGAACAGCTCTCGGACTTGAAAGGGAAGTTACAACATTTGCAAACATCTCAAAACGAAATGATCAAATTATCTCAAAATACCTTACTGGATTGTCAGGGAATGACAGTTTAACGCATCCTGTAAAATCGTGGCTCCTGGTGTGCTAACATTTTCAAGAAAAAAATGTATTTTTCCAGCGCTGGTCGGCCGACCAGCGTTGGAGAAAACTGGTTTTTTTTTCTCCAAAAACTGCTTGCAAACTCTTTGCTGCAAAAACCTGCAAAATATATTTGCAATTGATTACACACATGTGAAGGGGTACAAGCCTGTTAGACTGATTCTCTGAACTTACAATTCCCCAAAGTCTATAAATTCTCCGTTTCATCTTCAGTGGGGTCAGGGAAAATGTATGATTTTCTTGGTTTTTCCAGCATCTACAAGCCCAAAACGTGAAACAAGTCATTTAACAATGTTTGCTATAACATACTAATCCTCCAAATGCATTTATTTTTGAAATTGAAGCAAAAGCAAATGTTGTACATTCCCTTTAACTTCCCCTAGACTTGGTGCCAACTTCACTAGACAGTCCTGCTTTGTATGTCGGGTGCCCTGGATATTTTACTAGTACGGATCTGTCTTTCGTGCTTATCATTTGCCTCGACATGTGAGACTTGACTTTTATGATTTCCGACGGATACACATTTAGGCACCCAGCGAAATGCATGTGCATTACGTTTCCATAGAAAGACTCACTCACCTGTACCGCTGAAGAAACATTCATATTAGATTGGGGATATCTTTGTCTTGTTAATTGTATGTTTCTTTCTTGTTCGAAAGATTTTCATTAGAATATCAAAGTCAGGGGGTATAATTATAATACATTAGAAAATACAATATGCCCAATTGTTGTTTTCCAAATACGAATATAATACTAGAGGTTCGCGTTTGTCGAGTTACAAACGCAGAGTGGTCGGGCAGACAACAATTCCATTAAACATTGCCCAGTTATGTTATGAATATTTTTTGTCAGAACAAAGGATCACAACATTTAACCTTTCAAAGTACAATCAATTTTTTTGTTTAAAAAAATGCATCTTTTATGGCATGATAAATTTCAGTATACATTTAATCTACACGTACAAGTTGTTTCTGGTTTGATGACGTCATCAGTCAAAAAAGGGGAAATGCATACTGATGTAGTTCGGAGAGGATACATGTTCATTATGAAGTAAACATATGAAAATATGGAAAATATAAGTGTATGTTTTAATAACACCCAACTTCCAGTTTGATGACGTCACAACAGTATGAATCCAAAGGTCTACATTGTAACGGATATCATTATTCGGGCTACGAACATAGTCATAAGAAAGGGATCAAATGATATCATGAAATAAAATAAAAAAACAGTGATAGTTTTTTTTTTTAATTCTCCCTAAAACAACCCACTTCGTGATTTTTAAACCTTGTAAAGTCATCGGTGGTTAATCAAAGAAAACCAAGCGGCGATTTAGTAAAAGTTAAACGGACGGTTTTGTGATTTAAAAAACGCGAACTTTATTTGATGTACCGCTCGAGGGCGCCCTTTCAGATGATGACGTCATCATGCTGGTTTTTTTTTTTGTGTCTGGCATTCCAAACCTAACACTTCCATAGTTTATTTGTCTATAGTAAAATGCTTCCGCTTTCGAGTTATATTCAATTTTTATTGCACTTCCGGTAACACCGGAAGTTAAGGTCAAGCTATATTGTGCCCCGGATTAAGTAATGCTCAAGGTACCGTCAACAACCTCAAGAAAAACGAACACGATACTCGATTTAGTTCAAAAGTTATAGCTCAAACTATTTTGTCAAATTTTGCCCTTAAATCGCTTGTGGTGTGTATTTTAAATTCACCTAATTTTGACAGTCCTGTAGACCTGGATGTAAAGGTCAAGCAAGCTCACGTTCACGATAAAACAATGTTTATCACTGTCTGATAACAGAGTGTGAATATGATTGAGTTTTGTTCGAGTGATAAGTAAAATAAGTCGGTAAATAGTTTTCACAGACAAGCGCTTGTAATTTGACAACCAATGGCGTCATCATGACGTCAGACTAATATGAACCACTCGGGTGAGGGTCGATATATGTTGAAGATTACAAGTTAATACCATAAACCAGTGAAGAGAAAAACCGCCGAGAATCTAGACTGTACGAAGTTATATATACGTTAAATCACGTGATACGTTTCACGCATGCTTCTTTTAATGTCAATTACCTTACTAGTCTGCAGAAAAAAAAACATGCGTCCTGACCATAGCGCCATCCCGGTGCACTTAGCTCTGCCAAATTAACACAACGCCAATATTTGTTTCGTTCTACCTGCAGACTCAGCGTCCTCGTTCCCGGTCCTGTCTACAACCCGTCTTTCGCTATAATCATGGACCCGGCCTTCAAGCCCGAGTACATTTGCGGCAAGTGGGACAGCCCCTCCCAGGAGGTCTTCTTGGATTACTGGCAGCGGGACATGCAGCCCATCATTCAGGCCTACCAGCAGCCCGAGGAAGTGGCCGAGCTGGTGGAGCGGATCATACTGAGCGAGGACCCATATGTCCGGTACCCCACAGGCTCTTTGATCGCTAAGAGAATGGCCGACCAGCTGATCGATCCCACCGGAAACGTGGCGGGAGGCTTGTATCATTCCTTTAAACAATAAGTTCACATAATGGTGTTTTTGTCTTAGTAAAACGACGGACTTACAGTGAAATTTCGATAAGTCAAAACCGTTTAATTTGAAAATCCTGTTAGCTGGAAGTAAGAACGTATTCCCGTCAGACGAATAGCTAATCATGTATGAACATGCCCACGCTTACTTGAAATTTCGAACTGGAAACTCAGTTAAGTCGAACTCAACATCGCCAGGTGTAGAAATAAACTTGCGTAATTAGGCCACAGAAGAAACTGGAATACTTTTGTTAAGCTAAGAAATCCATCACGACCCTATCAATAAACCCAAAACTCTTGTATAGAAAAGCAACAACGAGGCTATTAGTAGGGGTGGGTATTAGCCCATACTTTTTTTAGCTGCCCCCCTCAAAATATGTAGTGACCCATGGGAATCAAGGGAAAAATACTTAACAAATTATTTGAGACCGTTAACCCCTCTGTACATGGCCCTCAAAGTGTCATTTTGAAAATATTGTATGGCGCCCCGACTCTTTGTGCAAAAAGTGTATGTAACTATTGTTTGGCTCCAGACTATTTTCTCCCACACTGGTCTAGCCTTGAAATAAGTTAGTAAAATAGAGGAAATAAAAAAACTTTCCTTATTTTTTGTTTAATAAATCCTTTTGTTTCACCTCTGAAGTGTATTTTATCATATGTCATTACAACTTTAACCATTGCCAATACAAATTCTTACTTTCAAAAAGAAAAAATCTTTGGTTTAAAACTCATGTCCATACAGCTTTGTATGCGGAATGCAGTTATATATACCAACAGGTCTACTTATTTTTGTTTTTCCTGGGGGAAAATATGTTTTCAGCATACACCAAAACAATAATGAAAAAACAAAACAGTTGAAAAACATGTTCCTGAAATTAAATGGACCGTTGAAAATTGCCAAAAGAGGAGGATGGCACTTTTAATTGTTTGTGATTTGTTGAATTTTTCCCGTTTTCAAAGCTTACACGTAACTTGGCTAGTATTAGTCCAAGTGTTAAACAAGTTATGTCAGATAAATTTACATGTATATGCTGAATTGAAAGGCAAAAGCAGAGAATAGTATATTTCTATTCACTCAAAAGTCATTGCGGGTATGATTCATGCTGAATGCATTGTACTACTTATTTAAGAGATGTCCATGGTCGGCTCTGTTGAAAATCATCCATCCTGGCATCTGCTTTTGTTACCCAAATATAGCTTCAGATTTGCCTAGTCCAGGGCCTAGTCTTCCATACACTTATATACTTATCAACCTGGTCTGATGATACGAATGGTACTCCCATGCCTTATAGTTTATCCTTGAATTCATCCTGTGCAGAATTCCACTGCACATTACTTCTGGTATTGTAAAATTGTTACACCAGAGTATTCTCAGAAGGAACCTGGCTATCTTCGCTCAATAAGATCAACAGTTAGTACATGTAGCTTTGACCAAGTTGACTTGGGCTGATGAAGCACTAAATATAATTAATACCAATATTTTTACCCACCGCATATTAATTACAAAACAAAATATCCATGAAGTTTACTGCAAGGCAGATTTCAACATTGGCAAAGTGGAGGTCACAAACTGTAAACTTAATTAACAATCATGACGTTGGAACTTAATCCCCCTGAACCGAGTGGTGATATTACAATAAAAAGGAGGTGTTCACGTTTCGTTACTATTGATAATAGCTCCAGACAAACAAAGAAAAGGTCCGAGTATACAAGTTTCAAATTAGGAAGGCAGTCACATGCTCAGGGAAAGTGAGTGGAAAAACAATCAACCAACTATGGACCAAAAACAACTTTTTCACAATCATGTTGCAAGAAATGGCCAGTGAAAAGGAACTTAACTTGTTTAAGTAATCATTGAACTGCAAGATATATTGCTTTTAATGACTTAAACCCGCCAACTATGTCCACAAACTATGAACAGCTGATCTCCTGAGTGGCACAAATGTTTTTAGTACCTTACAATTTGCCTTTCTTAAGTACATTGTAAGTCAGGGAACATGTCAGTTCAACTAGCCATAGAGGGCGCTAGCCAAACCTTTTTGGCGGCTTGTACAGGGGGTTAAACTTTTATATTTGTTTTAATGCTCGATTGTCGTTTCTAGTAGGTTACTACATATTTTGAAGGGGGAAGAACATTAAAAAGTTAAAAAAAGTGAAATAATACCCAACCCTTCTATTAGCGTCCGTAGTATCCTTGAAGCAGCCTATTCACTGCGGTATTTCGAAAGTGTCATTCATTCCCTTGAGATTTGACTTGATTCCGATATACCTGGTTGATAACGTACTTTTTTTGTCCAAAACAGAAACATTGGAGTTTAGTCAAGCCAAACATAGTTAATCACAAGTGGAAGCTTGGCTCTCACAATGTAGAATCCTTTTAAATGTTAGATCCCAAAATAACCGTGTCTTCGTCTTTAGATAGAATAAATGGCATGGTTTTCACTTGTTGGTCCGACGGGTCAACATGTATTTGTAGTTAAGTCCCCGTATAAGTTTAATAATCACATGTAAATTACAAGTTCCTCGGTCGATCTCACGGGAATCTCAGCTCTAACAATATGCGATTCCTTTTAAAATAATGACTTCCCAATTTGGTATCCTTCTCTCCAGACCTCTCTGCAAGACTCTAGACGGGATGGGTTTGATGACATGTTTTCCTCAGACTGATGAATATGGGACAAATAGTCAATGCCTTGTCTTCTTCAACATTACTCTATCTTCTTTATTTGTCCAGTTTAATAACCTTAATTAATGTGAATCTAATTATTAATTTGTTACTTCTTTTTTCCCTGTCACTTTAATATTACATTATTGGACTTTATTATGAACTCATTTTGTACGGGTATATTGAAGATTGCAGACAAAATGTCGATTGAATTGAATTGAGCCCCCTGAGCAAATCACAAGTCATTCCACCGCAGGTTCATAAATCTCAAGTCAAATCAATTGGCTATTAAACTGAGGTGTGTCAAAGGCAATTCTGGTACTGGTAATTCTTTTTGTTAACGTTCACTTCTACTTTGCTAAAATGTGATATGACTGGTGATGACCGGCCCAGTCCTGGCTGTAAGACATGTTGGCACCAGGGTATCAATCGCTTCTCAAAAGTGGGGGTGGGGGTTGGGGGAGGGGGTATAAAACATGTACATCCTGATGAGAACTAGGCCTAATTCGAGTGTGAAGCATAAACGGCGTAGGGTTCGGGGCCCACTTATGGTCCCCGACAAAACATGGATTCTAGATGCTCTGTGGTGCGATCTGAGGCAATTTATAACTACTAGCAAGGTTTTAGAAACAAAATCCCCTTTTAAACATTAAAGCGTTTGGAGTCATTGAATCAGCTTTTCTAAGCTACAGCATCAAATGTAGGCTACAATTATTTATTCAAGGACGAGACTAGTTGGGGAAAACGACATGTCCCCCCCCTCTCCTCCCCCCCCCCCCCCCGATCGACGCCTATGGGTGGCACCGTGCCTCAGAACGACAACCTATACATGTACATTGTATACGTAGGGCCTGTATGCATGTCTACATGCTGCACAGCGTCATTTGGTGAGATCGAAAATTCAGAGAGAGAGACCCTATAACCTTTTAAAACTTTTCTGTGCGCGTGGGTGTTGTGTGTGTAGGCCCATGTGTGTTATGGCACACTGAGATAGTTTCGTAGGCCCTCGAATTTTTCGTAGGCCCTAGGCAAAGTGCCTATTGTGCCCATTGGGTAATCGGGCCTGGATGATGAGATCGACTGTAAAGTCTGAACCACAATATTCCGTAAATGTATTTCACTTAGATTTACAATTATTGTAAAATACCCCCTTTGTACCCTACCCTCCACCACACTCCTTTCGTCCTTCCCCTGTTTAATCGCTCCTCTGTGTTTTCCTGCAAAGATTTGCTGCTTGTGTGTCCTTACTTGTTTGTTTCTGTATCAATTTCATTTTGCCTTTGAGAAAGAGCCTACCAGGACCAATCGTTATTCCCGCAACCATTTTTTTATATCTCACGTTAATACAGTCAGTTAGAAGATTGCAGCAGGTTCATTACTTTTCATTGCCATGAAAATGACAATGAAAACGACCAAGGACGAGTCTAGGCTGTAAAGGTTGACAGAACTGAAACACGATCTGACTTTTTTCTTTGTTTGTCACTTTTTGAGTATGAAATGCCAATGATTTTAGACAACTTGAGGTTGTTTTGACGTTCTGGTAACAGATTGATCATGGAGACAAAAACGTAAACTGTTTGGTGCAGCCTTTGCAATTCATTGCTCGAGATACTCAAACAACACTATGAGTCGATGGAAGAAAATAATACAACCCAAAGTTTGATGATTACTACTGTTTAATAGATATGAAATTGTTTACTATATCAGCAAAGAAAAACAAGTTGCTGTCAAAAAAGCCCTTTTCTTTCATATTATTATTCATTCGAAACCATGTAGAGATTCAGGCGCCAATAATGAGGGTTTTAAAATGTATCTGTGATACGTGGCATTTACATGGACAATGCCTATCCATGACGGTTTTCAAAGCACGTCGGCAACGTGATACTATTTGAATCTAGTTACAGACACCTGAGTACACTGCGCTCTCATCAAACATTTAAACGTGAAGTCACTGAATATTTTCGGATGATGACATTTTGCATCGAGGGAATGCAAATAAATATTAGGTGATGTTCTTCACCGACGTAATTTTCTCCCATACGGATAGCTGTGAGTAAACGGTGTTTGTAAAATTAAGTTGGTGAAAGGCAAACCCGATATTAAACTCCTTGAATAGTCCCACGCAAGTCTGATCTAGTCAGCAAATTGGCATGTAAAACAGTCAAAAGATAGTGCCAACACCCACTTTGCTCATTATAGAAGTATCCACATTTCGTATCTTTGAAAAGTGACTGGAGAACAAGGTTTTATTCAACATTACCCCAAGCATTTACACACTTTGCTTTAACAATAAGATTATCAGCAATGTACACATTCAATTATGCGTTGGAAATGTTCTGCCTTGAACTATATACACGTTCAATTATGTGTTGGAAATGTTCTGCCTTGAACTAATAAGCATGCATTTAGTTGTGTTGGCATTTAGGGCAAGGGTGTGTCGTATGCACCGATTGTGAATTCTATCAAGAGGTGTATTCAAATTCCTTTCTATTTCGTTAAAACTGCACAATTGGAGTCATCTGCATTCATAAACAAATTACAGTTTGGGGGATACAAGACGGTTGATCACAGGTGCAGACAAAATGAATAAAAGTGGACCTACGATCGACCCCTGCGGAACACCAACGTTTAGTGGCAGGATCGTTGATATATTGCCCTCAATATTTGCATACTGACTACATCCACTTAGGTATGACGTAAACCAATTGATTAAGGAAGTTGAAATATTAAGCGTTATAAATCTATCATGCAGGATTGCATGATCAACATAATCAAATGCTTCACTGAGATCTATAAACACACTGACTGTAACTTCTCCATGCTCCGTAGCCTGGAAACACTTGTTTGTTAAATCATTTAGGGTCCATTAGTTGAGTGCACAGGTCTATATCCCAACTGGAAACTAGGAATCAGATTGTTTTCTTCAAGGTATGTATATACCGCTGAATGCACCCATCTTTCTAAAATCTTAGAGACAATTGGCAGTGTAGAGATAGGGCGATAATTACTTGTACTGCATTAGTCTCCGCCCTTGTAAAGTGGTGTTACCAAAGCGTTATTCCAGTCGTTGGGGGTATCTCTCGCATCTTATGGAAAGGTTAAAGTAATTAGTTAAACATTTGGTACTATATACAGAGAAGATATTTTAATCAATTTAACACTTATGCAATCCGAACCTGTTGTTTTCCCAACTGACATTGATGACATTTGCTTTTGAGTGAGCTCTTCTGTAATATTAGGTACTATATGCATTCATCATCGAGCGATTCATAGATAAGGGCGTATTATTGTCGTCTTTTTCGGGCTCGCACGGAGGGCCTTTATTTACCAGCCATACGTTTTCCGATTGAAGAAAAAAATGGTTAATTTGAATAATTTCATTAATGTATCAGCAATGTCAGAAGGATCGTCAATATTTTTCCCATATGGGGGAAGGATGGCATTTGGAACACTTTTTGGTTTCTTCGGAAGAACCTGCTTTAGCTTTATTTTCATAGCATAGACAAATTGTTTTTGTTTTCCTCTAATGGCTGATGTGAAATAATCACTTTTCTTGGTGCGGATTTATTTTATATAGTTATTGTGTTCCACATCTTTTTGTAAGAATCCCAAAGGATTTGCGAGCTTGAGCGTTGAACAATTTTGTGTGCACGATCGCGCACTGTAATTTCATTATTTTCAGAAGTTCTTTTCCCCTCATGATGATCATCCACATCTCTGAAGTAAATCAGCATTCAGCTTGCACGTTTATTTTTTACTGCTGACGTCTTTCAAACGGACAAAAAGTGTACGAATGTGCACGTGAAATGTTATGAATTTAATCATGCCCTAAAAGATGCATTTGTTGAAATTATTATTTTTCTGGAAACTAAAGACTGAGTTGCATAATTTTAGTTTTCTGTTCTAACATAAAATATTCACAACTGGGCAACGTCCTCTGAAACAGTTTTTGGCCCGATCACTTAGAGTTTGAAAATAATTTCTAGTTCATTTTTTTCTTTTGTTTTGTGATTTTTGGCCGGAATGGTACCATTTTACCCAGCCGTGTAAAAACAAATGCCAATTGTGTTTGCCACGTGATCAGTGTGTTAAAAACATCTTCCTTTTTCCCGACTGATTTGCCCAATGTAATTAACTGTCTGCCTGTTTTGAATCAATTTAGCTTGAGCAGGTGCCTAATCAGTAAATTGTATAACATCACTCACCCCTCGTCCCATTTACGCATGCGATCGCAACTGGGCTAAGAGCAACGATAGTTAAGCTCGTTTGAATCTTTGGAAGAGACATCCACTCCGACTAATTAGATTTCTCAAACGACACTACCATATTGCTGCAGCCTGCAGACGCCATTGAACTTCAACTCCAAATGGCAAGGCAAACAGACGCCCAAATCGACACAACCCAAGGCTTGTACAACCCAAGTCAAGAACCTTCGGATTATACTTAGTCCCACGGTGCGAAAACGTGATTTGTTATCGTTAACATGAGTCCGGAAATGTCAAGGGAATGACGAATTCTTCTCACAACGCCAAACTACATTCGCTGTTAATTTATTGAATTGAATATGGCACGTTTATTTTCTTGAAATGAATATGGCACATTTCTTTTCTTGAAATGAACATGGCACATTTCTTTTCTTGAAATAAATATGGCATATTTCTTTTCTTGAAATTAATATGACACGTTTATAACAAGTCAAGAAACGATTAGTATCTTTTATCACTAAAAATAATATTCTCTTCGAGTCTCAATTTGGTTTTAGACAAAATCGTTCAACTGAATTAGCGATATCGTATGTAATTAGTAAATTATGTAATGCATTTGATCAAAATAACTTCTCCATAGGTATTTTTTTGGAATTATCTAAAGCTTTTGATACTGTAAATCACGATATTCTTATGAGTAAATTAGAACATTACGGAATGCGGGGAACAGCTTTGGACCTACTGAAAAGTTATTTGTGTAACAGAAAGCAGTATGTGTCATTTCACTCTGTAACTTCAACTAGCCGATTCATTACGTGTGGGGTACCTCAGGGTTCCGTTTTGGGTCCTTTACTATTTCTTCTTTATATTAATGATATATGTAATACTTCAGACACTGTAACATTTTGTTTATTTGCAGATGATACAAGTTTGTTGTATACTTACGATAATGTAGATGAAGCAATTAGTAACCTAAATGTGGAACTTGAAAAATCAGTACATGGCTTCTCGCAAATAAATTATGTATTAATGTCGTCAAGTCAAATTATATGATTTTTTTGTGCCAATCAGTTTAAGTACACACAACCTGTTCCTCTG